CATCAGCAACGTCATCATCAGCATCCGCATCAACATTAGCATCGTCATCATCAGCATCATCAGCAGCATCCGCATCAGCATCATCATCTGCAACAGCAGCATCAGCATCACAGTCATCATCATCGTCATCAGCATCATCAACCTCACCGTCGGCATCATCACACCAATCGTAAGCATAACAATCAGCATCAGCATCATCATCGCCAGATCAGCACCATCATCAGCTTCAGCATCATCGTCAGCATCGTCTGTAAACAACATCACCACCATCAGCAACAACATCGCCACCATCATCACCAACAACAACATAAACGTCAGCAGCATCAGCATCATGATCGGAATCAGCATCATCAGCAGCATCAACATCATCATCAGCAACATCATCATCATCAGCATCAACATCGTCATCATCAGCATCATCATCGCCGTCAGCATCGTCAACATCATCATGATAATCATCATCAGCATCAGCAACATCATCATCAGCATCATCAGTACCAGCACAATCGTCAGCATCATCAGCATCAGCATCATCATCATCATTCTCAAACTCATCATCATCATCGACATCAGTATCAGCATCCGAGTCCCATCATAATCATCAGAATCAGCGCCAGCCGTATCACCATCAACATCATCATCAGCAGCAACATCAGCATCAGTATCCTCAGCATCGTCACCACCACCATCATCATATTCATCATCAGCATCGTCATCACCAGCAGCAGCAGGATCATCGTCATCACCAGCACGATCAGCAGCATCATCATCGTCACCATCACCAGCAGCAACAACATCAGCAGTAACACCATCATCGAACATCGTCGACGACATCGTCATCAAGATCGTCAGCGTCATCATCGACATCAACAGCAGCATCAGCTTCAGCATCATCAGCATCAGCTCCATCATCATCATCATCAGCAGCAGCAGCAGTTACACCATTGGCATCATCAGCCTATGCAACAGCAACATCAGACGGATCATCATCACAACCGTCAGCAGCAGCATCTTCACCAGTATCCTCATTAGAAGCCGTCGCCATGTGTAGTGGGGCGTCGCCTGGACCTGAGGGAGGACAGGAGGGCGAGGAGAGCGGAACGTGGGTGTGTGGGTGGGTGGGTGTGGGTGTGGGTGTAGGTGCGTGCGCGCGTGTGGGTGTGGGTGTGGGTGTGGGGGTGGGTGTGGGTGCGCGTGCGTGCGTGCGTGCGTGTGCGTGTGTGTATGTGAGGATGCGTGTGTGTGTGTATGTGTATGGTTGTATGTGTGTATGAGTATACATATACGCGTGTGCGTCAATGTAGGTGTGTATGCGTGTGTGTGGGTGTGTGTGTGCGTGTGGGTGTGTAGATGTGTGTCTGTGTGTGTGCCTGTGTGTACGTGTGTGTGTGCGTGTGTGTGTGAATGTGTGTGTGGGGGGTGTGGGTGTGCGTGTGCGTGGGTGGGTGGGTTGGTGTGTGGGGTGTGTGCGTATGTGTGTGTGTGTGGGTGTGTGTGTGTGGGAGTGCGTGTGTGTGAGTGTGTGTGTGTGGGTGCGTGTGTGTGTGTGTGTGTGGGTGGTTGTGTGTGTTTGTGCGTGCGTATGGTTGTGTGTGTGCGTGTGTGTGTGTGTGTGTGTGTGTGTGTTTGTGTGTGTGTGTGTGTGTGTGTGTGTGTGTGTGTGTGTGTGTGTGTGTGGGTGGGGGGGGGGTGCGTGGGTGCGTGTGTGCGTGCGTGCGTGAGTGCGTGTGTGCGTGCGTGCATCCGTGTTTGTGTGTGGGTGTGACTGGGTGTGTGTGTGTGTGTGTGTGCGTGGGTGTGGCTGTGTGTGTGGGTGTGTACGTGTGTATGGGTGCGTGTGTGTGTGCGCGTGTGTGCGTGGGTGCGCGCGTGCGTGCGAGCGTGAGTGTGTGCGTGCGTACGTTCGTGCGTGCGCGAGTGCGTGGGTGCGTGGGTGTGTGTGTGTGTGTGCGCGTGCGCGTGTGCGTGTACGTGAGTGTGTGTGTGTGTGTGTGCGTGTGCGTGTGCCTGTGCGTGTGCGTGGGTGCGTGAGTGCGTGGGTTCGTGGGTGCGTGTGCGTTTGCGTTTGCGTGTGCGTGTGCGCGTGTGCGTGTGTGTGTGCGTGTGCCTGTGTGCGTGGGTTCGTGGGTGTGTGGGTGTGTGGGTGGGTGTGCGGGTGTGTGTGGGTGTGTGTGGGTGTGTGTGTGACCCGCACGTGTGACATGTTTGTCAGTGCCGCTGGCGACCCCGTGGCAGCTCCGACAGGCGACAGACGCCTGCCAGGGGGAAGATGCAGCCGCACTTCTCAGGTTGGGCTCGCGGCGGCTGTGATGTAACCGTTTGCCAGTCGGCGTTCATGGCAGATACGGTGCAGCTTTCATGACAGGTGTCAGTTGCAGTCGGACATCGGCCAGAAGAAGCTCCCGCAAGAACATGAGATCCTCCGCCGCCCAAGTTCACCGAACCTCCAAGGGTATCCTCCCCAGAATGCACAAGAGCATCCAACCAACAACAAGAACACTAGGGTACCCTCACCCGAACCGACCTCGAACTTATACCCCGGTCTGACTGTAAAAGAATGCGTGCGCTTTCCGCGCATCCCGTTATCAAAGAGCGGTAGGAGCGGGAATGGAGGGAGGAGACGAGGTGGTCCTCGGTGAGCTGCACTATCTCGGAGTCCCTGCCCTCCAAGACCTTCGCGGGAGCGCCGCACGCCCAGCTCCAGTGCACCGTATCCTTCTCCGTCTCCTCCTCCCTCCTTCTCCTCCTCCTCCTCCACAACCATGAACAGGACCGCACTTGCCGTCGTTCGGGAAGGAAGGCACCGAGGTCATTACGCATGGATTCTCGTTGTTCCGGCTTGCTCCATTATACGACACAGGTTCATGGTGAGGCCAGTTCACGACCATCTTGCAATGAGGATGGCAGCATTTCTTCTTGTGCTCTTTATGCTCATCTGTCGTTTGTTCCATGGGAGTGGCTAGTCCTCCCGTCACTTTGGGTTGGTGTCAAGCCCGAAGAGAACAAACGAACCAAGCGAAAAGCACCAGAAGGACCGAGATATCCCTGTTTCGGGGTGGACGTCTGGTCCGCTGTATCTCGAGAGTGTGTCAGTGGCTAAAGTGCCGCTGGGATGGAGCGCCCAAACGAGAATGTTTCAGCAGCCTTATAACAACCTCGGAGCAGAGGATTATAAGAATTGTGCATTCCCTTTAGGGCCCCTTTCAAGAAAGGCCCCTGTCGCAGATGGGAATGGCCTAGGAATAGTCCTCCTCCTTCCCCTCCTCCTCCTCCTCCTCCTCTTCCTCCTCCTCCTGTTCGCTGTTCGCTCTCTGCTTTGGGGTCGAGATAGACGCAGCCACCCCTCATCCTTCTCATCATGATTCTCACCCTCACCCTCACTCTCACCTTCAACCCATTATCCTCCTCCACCTCGTCATCCTCCTCCTCACACGCATCCTCCTCCCTACACCTTCCTCCTCCTCCTCCTGACGAGCCCTCGTATCGACTCTGTTGTCTTCCCTCTCGCCGCCCCTCGTCGAGAGATGCGCTGGCGCTTCGCCCACCAGTAGAGCCTTGTTAACCGACTAGCAAAGACAATCGGTCTACGCAACCGAGAACCCGATCCGTATCCCAAATCATGCTTATATGCCAGCATAGCAGGGAGACAAGTGTTTCTTCGAAGCGTGTGGCCCCTGAGCTTGAATGCTCCAACTATACGAATGGACGCGGTGTTCCAAGATCTGGTTATCGCCCGAAGCAGCCTCAAGATCCATAAAAATGGGGCATTGGATCTCAGTCAGCTGTACGGACAGAGGGTGCGTGGATGCGGCCTATTGCTCGAGACCTCCTCACGACTTCTGACCGACAAGTTGAAAATATCAGACACGGTTACACGGACTGGGGCCGGCGCATGGTCAAAACGCCCGAGACTCCCTCGAAGACGATGAACTCAAGGTTTGAGCTATTTGGGGGCGTGCCGTTTCAAAGGTAAGCCCTAGCTTCAAACCATCACGCGCTACAATGCTGATATGCATGGCTTCCAGCAATCGCACGGACGGGAAGAGTGGTGGCTCACTTTCAAAAACGTGTCCCGCTTGGACAAAACCCACACTTCTTTTAAGCTTCTGCAAGCTACGTGGACGGAGGACGATTCACTATGAGGATCCAGTCCAGAAGGCTCTGGCTCTTCCAGAATCCCTGGCTTCCTGACCCTTGGCGTGGCGACGTGGGATCTCTTCGGCTCGAGCCGCGAGGCATCGAAGCCAATCGCTCTTCTCCTGGGCGCCCTGGATCAAGGGCCCTGGACGACAGCGGGCGGGCGCAAGCGTGGAAAGAGAGAGAGTGAGAGAGAGAAACAGACCAAGGGAGGCTGACGAGAGGGGATGATGCGAGAAGATGTGGCAACAAACATTGTACGACGCGGAAGATTAACATGGCGGAGTCGCAAAGGACATCGCCACGCTGGCCCCCCCTAGGTACTGGACCCGAGGAAGACCTGTTGGACGCTCACCTTATCATCGGAAGCTCACTGCCGTGCCAGGGAATACCCACGAAAAGCGAACCTGCGCGGGAGAGTGCACCGAAGCATGCCAGACGTACCCCTTCTCATGACCAACCACCCTTCACCTCAGCCTCTTCGTCCTGCTCAACGTCCTCCCCCTCCTCCTCCTCCTGCTCTTCCGCCTTTTCCTGCTCTTCCTCCACCTCCTCCTCCTACTCCTCCTCCTTGTGCTTTTCCGCGTCCTCCTGGCGTTCCTGCCCCCCCCGTCCCAGGCAATATCAGTACTCCTCCTCGTCCTCCTCGTCCACCTGCTGCTCCTCCTCCTTCTCCTCCTCCTCCGCCTCTTCTGGATCATCATCATAATCAAACGAATCATCATAAGCAGAATCAGAATCCTAATCCTAATCATCATCATCCTAATCATCATCATCATCATCATCATCATCATCATCATCATCATCATCATCATCATCATCATCATCATCATCATCATCATTACCATCAGCATCATCATCATCATCATCATCATCATCATCGTCGTCGTCGTCGTCGTCATCATCATCAGCATCATTATCATCGCCATCGTCGTCATCATAATGATCATCGTGATCATTCCCATCCACACCATCATGAGCATCCTCATCGGCAGCATACTCAGCATCAGTACCATCCTCGCATCAAAGTGGTCGTCCTTATCATCATCTGCAGCATCATCAGAATCGCCATAGTCATCAGCACCAGTATCATCCTCATCACAGTTGCAGCATCACCAGCATCCTCAGCTTCATCGCCATCGTCACCATCTGCACTAGCATCAGCATCATAATCATCATCAGCATCATCATCATGATCATCGTCATCATCACCATCATCATCAACGTCATCATCATCATCACCATTAGCATCATCATCAGCATCCCCATCAGCATCACAACCATCCTCCTCCTCCTCCTCATCCTCCTCATCATCAGCATCACAATCATCGTCATCATCAGAATCGCCATCATAGTTTCCCATCCTCAGCACCCTCATTATCCGCATTAGCTGCAACCCCAATATCATCAGTATCATCGTGAGCATCATCATTCCCGTCAACGTCAGCATCCTCATTACCATCAGCAGCATCATCACCATCACCATCATCATAACCATCATTACCATCATCATCATCATCATCATCATCATCATCATCATCAGCAACATCAACATCACCATACTCATCAGTACCATCATCATGTGTACCATCCTCATCATCAACAGCAGGAGCACCAGCAGGAGCACCATCATCGTCATCGTTATCATCATCATCTTCAGCCTCGGCATAATCCTCATCCTCATCCTCCTCCTTCTACGCCTCCTCCTCATCATCATCACAGTCATCGTCAACATCAGTATCATCAGCATCAGCATCAGCATCGGCATCAGCATCACCATCATCAACATCATCGTGATCATGGTCAACATCAGCATCATCATCATCGTACGCATCAGCATAGGCAACAGCATCATTTTCATCATAATCATCACCATCATCATAGTCATCGTCGGCATAATCATTATCATCAGCATCAGCATTAGCTTCAGCATCAGCATCATCATCATCAACATCATCGTCAACATGATCATGAGCATCATAATCATCATCCTCACCATCATCGCCAACAGCATCGTCAGCATCATCATCGTAAGCATCAGCATAGGCAACATCATCATCAGCATCATCAGTATTATCAGTATCATCATCACCAGCATCATCATAATCATCACCATCATCGTCATTATGATCAGAATCATCATCACCATCACAATCACCATCATCAACAAAATCAGCATCATCATCAGCATCACCATCTTCCTGATCGTCCTCATCATCATCTTCATCATGCGCATCATCATTATCATCATCAGCAGTGTCCTCATTATCAGCATCATCATCATAGTTGTCATCGTCACCAGCAACATCAATATCCTCATCATCATCATAATCATCATCGTCATCAGCAACAGCATCATCATCATCCTTCTCGCCGTCATCACCATAACCGTCATTATCCTTAGCAGCATCAGCATCCTCATCATAATCATCGTCATCATCAGCAGCATCCTCATCTTCCTCATCATCTTCATCATTATCATCATCATCATCATCACCATCTTCCTCCTCCTCATCATCATCGTCGTCATCACCATGACCATGAGCGTCAACATTGTCACTATCGTGGTCATCGTCCGCGTCGCTCTCCCCGAGAACCTGCAGCAGCTCCTGCCGGTCGGCCTCGTGCTCCTGGATCCGCCGCTCGGCCGCGCGGATTTCGCCCTCGCAGCGGGGGAGACAAGAGGCAGGAGGATGGGGCAGGGGAGGGTGAGGGGGAGGGCGAAATGGTGATGGTTAGCAGTGGAGAGCGGTGGGGAGGGGCAGGGGAGAGGGGGGGGGAAAAAAGGTGATGTTGGTGAGGGTGACGACGATGATTATGAAGGTGAGGATCCAGAAGATGATCGGGGGTGCTGGTGGTGGTGATGATGGTTGTGATGTTGATGATGTGTTGATGTTGAAGTTGATGGTGATGATTATGATGATGGAGGTGGTGGTGGTGATGACGATGACGATGACGATGACGATGATGATTACATTGACAACGATGGTGATGATGATGGTGATGATGACGAGGACGGTGATGATAGTGATGATGATGTTGATGATGATGGTAATGATGCTGACGAGGATGGTGATGATGATGATGAGGATGATGATGACGATTATAATGATGCTGATGATGATGGTCATGGCCGTGATGATGGTGATGATGATGGTGATGATGATGGTGATGATGATGATGATGATGATGACGTTGAGCGTGCGGGCCAGAGGCGCGAACCCTTCCTTCTGCCTGTGTCTGATGCCGTTCTCCTCATCTGGCCTCGTCATCCGCATCATCATTAACACCACCATAATCAGAATCATAATCACAATCATCATCATCATCATCATCATCATCATCATCATCACCCTCCTCCTTGTCATCATTATCATTATCATCCCTCTGTGCATCATAATCATCATCCTCATCCTCCTCCGCATCATCAACAGCCTCAGCATCATCCACATCATCATTGTCAGCATAGACATCCCATTATCAACATCATCAGCAGCAGCACAACCAGCATCATCATCAGCATCAGCATCATCATCGTCATCGCCATCCTCACCGTCAGCATCATCAGCATCATCGTCAGCATCATCGTCATCGTCATCGTCATCACCATCACCGTCATCACCATCAGCAGCAGCAACACCATCGTCATCAGCAACATCATTGTCGCCGTCCTCGTCCGCATCCTCATCCTTACCCTCATCCTCATCATGCCCGGCGCTCTTTCCAAAAACTTGATCCCGGTGTGAAGGGCGAGAGGGGATGCTGGCCAACGGGCGGGCGGCCACCGGAACTCTGGGCGCAGATCAGCCTGCGAAAGCTGATCGCGAGCAAGAAGGGCACTGGGGCGAGAAAGCTGCAGAGGAAGTCGTCTCCCCCATCATTGAAGGGGAACGCCAGGGGGGTACTGGCTCAGGAAGGGAAACATCGAGCTGGAATCGGCGATACATCGCCGATAGATCGGCGATAGGCTCTCGATTGCGAAATCGCACGGGCCTGGGCGGGGTGGAGTACCAGACCCCTTCTCAGTGGTCAATGGGCCATCGGGGGTCGATGCATCCCCCCCTGAGCGTATCCGCCCTACCGTTGCCCCCAAGAAGTCCGTTTCTCAGTTGAGCTCGCCGAGCTGCCATGATGCACGACGTTCCTTTTTCGAACAGACCGCTCCAGTGCTGAGGGTTGCAAGTGGTAAGGCTTCGGGCTGCGCACAGACAGCCCCCCCAGGTAGTCCCGGCTGGCCTCCACAGGCCCCCCGAGTAGTCCAAGCTGGCCTCAACAGCCCCTCCGAGTAGTCCAGGGCGGACTCAACACTTCAAGCGGCGCCACGGTGTTCGGACTGCTCGGGGGAGCCTATTGAGGCCACAAGGGACTGCCTGGGGGGTCTGTCTGTGCACAACCCGGAGCCTTGCCAGTTGAGAGAAGGTCTGGCCAACGGGCGGCCATCAGAACTGTCTGGGCGCACGGCGGGACGCCGCGCAGCCTCAAGCGGAAGTAAAGATCTCGACCTACAACTGCTGGTCCGACCTCACCCGCACTGTCCTTTGCCGTGCGAGGCGCTCCAGCAAGGGCCTCGCCTTCGGCGCATCCTCGGCCTGGGCGGAAGCCGGCAAAAGGCTGGCGGAAGCCTGCTGAAGGGAAACGAACGTTTGGAGCGCTTGCTCGCCCTTCGTCGGGCTTCTGGTTTAGCAGAATGCCTATACCAGCGCCGTCCACACTGTAGTTTAGAGCCCCACACGAGACCTCCTGCGCCGAAGGAACATTGTGGGTAGTGCGCTTGAAGGCGCGCTTGGTGGTGAAGTGAAACGGCGGCGGATGAGCTGGCGGAAGGTCGGCGGAAGGCGGCGGAAGCAAAAGCGAGACGCCAACATGCTTGGATTCAGGGTTGCCGAAATCGCCAAATTGCCGATTCAGAAGTCGAAGGCTGACACTGCGAGGTGCGACAGCTGCGGCACCGAGCACGGCACGTGATGCAGAGCGTGCAGGAGAGCCGCCGCGCAGCCCCGATTACAGTGACGCTCTGGCTTGACACGCGCCTGGCGATTACTGCAGCGATGACGCCTCACCCTCCCGCACCCAGGATGACACAAAACCGAATCGGAAAACCGAACTGGCCTTAGGAATACATCGCATCGGCAGGAATTGGCAGGAAGATCGGAAGGCACCGGAATCGACGCCCGCCGGCGCAAGCCGAGGCATGCACGAAGAAATACAGACTGAAGCCAGAGTGCAGAGTCGAATCGAACCGAGACCAGAACCCTCGAAACCGAATCCGCTCGATGGGCAGAGTCGAAGTGGCTCCGGCGCCTCCCCCTCGCCTTCCACCACTCAGGGCTGCGCGTGTGCAGCACGCCGCCGTGCGCCACGGCCTGCGCCACAGCCGATGCCCAGCTCGGCACGCGCGCTCAGAACTCGAGGCGAGAGGCACGGCGGACAGGAGGGCCGCCCATTGGCCTCGAGGAGGCACCCTCTCTTGGCCCCGGAGGGCAGGGAGCTCCAGCCGGGGGACCCCAAAGCCGTGCGGTGACCCCGAATCCCCACCGACGCATCACGCGGTGTGGTCACCACGCCGTGTAGGGGGCCCCACCAGCTCAGCCAGAAACGATGCTGACAGACGTTTTTCGATCCAGTTTAACTGTCGACGTGGCCTTCGGTGCCCCAGCAGGGCATTGCGCCCGCGCGCGCAAAGGCGCCGCGGGGGCGCCCTGCCGCCGCCTCGGGCGGGACGCCCGTGAGGGTCCTCCTCCTCCTCCTCCTCCTCCTCGTCCTCCTCCTCCTCCTCCTCCTCATCCTTCTCCGTTTCCTTCTCCTCCTCGTCCTCCTCCTCTCCTCCACCTACTCCTCCTCCTGCTCCCTGGGACGCAACGCACCCAACGGGGCACGCCGTGACCCAACGCACCCAACGGGGCACGTCGTGACGCACCCTGCGAGGCCCTCGCGGGGCGGGGCGAGAGCTCGCCTCGCGCGGGGGCACACCACTGCGAGGACGCCGCGCGCCCGACGCGCAGCTGCCTCGGGCTGCGCCAGGCTGCAGTCAACGTCGCGATGCTGCCATCATGTTCTCTCTCCTCCTCCCTCCTCCTCCTCCTCCTCCTCCTCCTTCCTCCTCCTCTCCCCTCCTCCTCCTCCTCCTCCCCTCCATCCTCCTCCTTCTCCTCCCTCCTCCTCCTCCTCTCCTCCTCCTCCTCCTCCCTCCTCCTCCTCCTCCTCTCCTCCTCCTCCTCCTCTCTCTCCTCTCCTTCTCCCCCCCCCCTCCTCATCCTCCTCCTCCTCATCCTCCTCCCTCCTCTCCTCCTGCTGCTCCTCCCCCTCCCCTCCTCCTCCTCCTCCTCCTCCTCCCTCCCTCCTCCCTCCTCGTCCTCCCCCTCCTCCTCTCCTCCTCCTCCTCCTCCCTCCTCCTCTCCTCTTCCTCCTCCTCCTCACCCTCTCCTCCTCTCCTCCTCCTCCTCCGTTCTCCTCCTCCTCCTCCCTCTCCTCCCTCCTCCTCCTCCTCCCTCCTCCTCCTCCTCCTCCTCCTCCTCCCTCCTCCTCCTCCTCCTCCTCCTCCTCCTCCTCCTCCTCCTCCTCCTCCTCCTCTCCTCATTTCTCATCATCATCCTCCTCCTCCTTCTTCCCCCCCCCCCTCAAGGGCGCCGAGAGGCCGAGGGAGCTCTACAACGCTGGAGCCGTTCCCATCATCGTCCCCTATCATCCTCCCAGTCATACGGATCGGGAAGTCCTGACACCCGAGGACCCGAAAGTGGCTACCGCGTCGCGCCGAAACGTAATGTGCCAGAACTGGCGGCGCGACACGCTATCCAAAAGACCTGGACCGTTACCGTCACCATCCATCATCCCTCTCCCTCCCTCCCCGTCCCTCATCCCTCAGCCCTCCATCGCAATTGTCGCCATTGTAACAATCATCATCCTTCATTCGTATCACAATACATACTCAGCATCACCTCCACCACCACCATCATCATCACCACACTCCCTGAACATCCCTCATCATCAGCATCATCAGCATCTTCAGCATCATCATCATTCTCATCATCAGCATAAGCATGCACAGCATCATCGCCATCATCAGCAGCAGCAACATCTCCATTATTAGCAGCATCATCACCATCAACATCACCATCATCAGCAGGAGCATCATCATCAGCACCAGCAGTATCGTCCGCAGCAGCATCACCATCATTATCAGCAGCATCATCACCATCATGTTATTCTTCTTCAGCAGCAGCATCGTCGTCATCATCAGCATCAACATCAGCATCATCATCAGAAAGCATCATCAATCCTCCCCACCGTCATCATCATCATCATCATCAGCAGCATCAGCATCATCAGCATCATCAGCATCATCAGCATCATCATCGGTTTCTTCTTCTTCTTCTTCATCATCATCATCATCAGCATCTTCTTCTTCATCATCATCATCATCATCATCAGCATCATCATCATCATCATCATCATCATCATCATCATCATCATCATCATCATCATGATCACCCCTCATGGCCATCACCCCTCAACACCCCTCGTCATCCCTCACCCTCCCTCATCGTCCCTCGTCCCTCATCCCCCCTCCCGCCTCGCCCGGATCCTCTCCGACCCTGCGCCAGCGCTCCCGCCCTGCTGGAGCCCTGGGGGCCAAGCGCGCCTCCTGCTCGAGGTAGCTGTCGTGAATGGACTTGCGGGCGGCCATCGTGCGCAGGTAGAGGGTCTCCGTCTTCTGGAGCCGCTGCTCCTCGGAAGCTCGAGCGCGCGATCGGACGAGCAGGCAGGCACGCGGCCGCGCGCGCGCACTGCCCCAGGGCCCTCCTCCTCCAGGCCAGCCTTCCCCTCCGCCATCCCTGTTCCACCTGACTCCTCCCCGTCGCAACCCGAAGCGTGTCAGTAGGGCGGGCTGGGCGGTTCGCCTGAGACTCCCTCACCGCTCATGATCCTGAAGCTGGAAGTGCGATACCGTCTCCCAGATGAAAGATGAGCCGTTTGGAAAAGGCGTCCCTCGCCTAAGCCTCGCGCAAATTCGTTTTCACATGGTGCAAGAGCTTCACAGATGGAGGGCGAACCGCTTTCAAAAATGTGGCAATCGCCTTAGTGCCCCGCAGATTCGCCTTCGAATAATACAAGATCTTCACGGATAGAGGGTGGCCCCCTTTCAAAATGTGGCTCTCACATTCGCGCCGCGCACATTCATCATTCGTCTTCAACGTGAGCAAGAGATCACGGATAGAGGTCGGTTCATCTCAAAATGTGGCTCTCGTGTTAGCGCCGAGCACATTCGTCGTAAAAGTTCACAACAGCTTCAAGGATGATTATGGCTGACGTCCCAGGCTAAGAGCGATGTTCTGACCCGACTTCGAACTGTCAGGGCGCAACAGTCACATTGATTCGCGGAGCTGAAATTTCAGGAATGATGGTCTGTCACCAGTAACGTTGATTCGCGGCGTGGAAGTCCCAGGAACGGTGTTGTGGCACGGTCAAGGGCTCTCAGACACAACTGTCTGACAACAGGGCACTTCCCAGGGAAAGCAAATTCTTGCATGGCACTGTGAAGGAGGATGTAGACAGGAGTGTGTATTGCAAAATCGTCGGTGCAAGTCTTGGGTTTCCACTGGTCCAACTCCTCCTCCTCCTCCTCATCCTCCTCCTGCTCCTGCATTTCGTCGTCCTCCTCCTCATACTCATGTATATGGTCTCCCTCACCATGTCCAGCGAGTGCGTGGTCGCTATCTCCAGGACCCTCTCTGGCACTCTGGCAGTGCTCCAGGCAGCGCTTGCACCCTGGGCATGCCGTGGAGCTCAACACCAGCTGTGATCCTCCCAGCTCCTCGTAGTGCCGTTCTCGCGGTGGCACCAGGAGAACAGCGGCAAGAACGGAAGGCCACTTCCGTCCCCCGTCCCCTCGAGCCAGCACCGGAGGGATAAGAGGAGCGGAGCGGAAGCCCGGTCCGCGAGGCGACCACGCACGGCACTGAGAGCACGACAGGCCCCAAGAAGGCAACGAGATGGGTGAGAGTGACAAGAGAACTGAAGCAGAAGATCGTGGCAATGATGAAATTGATACAGTGTATAACGGACTTAGCGGCGCCGATACGCAACACGCAACACGTAGCGTATTGATACGGAGCTCAATTCGTAAACTGAACACGTAGGTATGGCGCGATACGGTCGCCAAAGAGTGGACTTGGACTAAGTAGCTGAGCCAACACGCAACGTATTGACACGGACGCTTTAAACACGGTAATTACGTGTTGCGTTTCAAGACGGGGATATCATGGCAGCTAAGATGACAGGGTATGGGGAACAGGGGGGGCGGACGAGCGGGGGAGGAGGGAGGAGAGAGAACGAGGAGGGCGAGGGGGCGAGGAGGGCGAGGGGGGAAGGGGGGAGGGGAGGAGAGCGAGGAGGGCGAAGGGGGGAGGGGGCGAGGAGGGCGAGGGGGGCGAGAATGAGGAAAGAGAACGGGATGGCGAGGGAGGCGAAGAGGTGAGCGGTGGGACTGGCCCGGCAGGGGCGGTCTCTCCTTGTGCTTGTTCTTCAGCTGCTCGCCAACCAGCTGTGAGGTCACCTTCTTGACCTCGGACTCGACTTCGCGGATCTCTTCCAAGATCTTCTTGTTTTCCTTCGCTCCTCCTCCTCCTCGTCCTTCTCCTCCTCTTCCTCCTCCGTTTCCTCCTGCTCCTCTTCCTCATCCTCCTCCTCCCTCTCCTCCTTTCTCCTCCTCCTCCTCCTCCTCCTCCTCTGAGACTGGGGCAACGGGTTGGATTCGCATCGGCGCTTGGAATGTATGGAATATCGCGGCCCCTCCTCTGAGAAGCGCCAAGGGAGCGGGAGGGAGCTGCGACAAAGGGGGAAGATAATGAGCAGGCCCCAGGGTAGCAGGGCGGAGGTCCCGCCCGGAGGAGGCAGAGGCCACGGAGATGGAGCAGAGAGTAGAGAGGGGGGAGGAGTAGGAAGGGAGGAGGAGGAGGAGGAGGAGGAGGACTTAAGGTACCCTGAAAGAGATGAGAAGAGGGCAAGCGGGCACGAGGCGAGACGAGGGCAAATAGTGACGTCCGCCGCGCCCGTCGCGAGCTCTCGCACCTATCGGAGGTGAACGGTTGAGATCGAAGTGGAACGGAGAGCCCCCCTACCGGAAAATCGGTTTCGGTTTCGTGTTCGTGCGTGCCGTGCGTGCGGGCGAGGCGAAGCTGCGTGGGCGGGCGAGAAGAAAGTCTCCTCCGGCTGAGGCGCGGCCGGACCAATTGTTTCCTGTCCGGGGGCCAGTGGCGCGCGGTGTCCCGTGTCCCGCCGGTGTCCCGCCTCCGGCTGAGGCGCGGCCGGACCACATATTTCCTGTCTGGGGGCCGGTGGCGCGCGGTGTCCCGCCGGTGTCCCGCCTCCGGCTGAGGCACGGCCGGACCAAATGTTTCCTGTCGGGGGGCCGGTGGCGCGCGGTGTCCCGCCAGTGCCCCGTTGGTGTCACGTCGGTGTCCTAATGATGATGATGATGATGATGATGATGATGATGATGATGATGATGATGATGATGATGACAATGATGATGATGATGATGTCGATAATGTTGATGATGATGCTGGTGTTGGTGGTGATGATGATGATGGTGTCCCGATGGTGATGATGACGATGATGATGATGATGATGATGATGATGATAATGTTGACGATGCCGCTGATGATGATGGTGATGGTTGTGATGTTGATGGTGTCCCGATGACGATGAGTATGGTAATGACAATAATAATGTTGCTGGTGATGATGGTGTCCCGATGATGATGATGTGGATGATCATGATGATGCCGATGAAGATAAGATGATGATGGGATGGCGATGATGAAGATGATGATGATGGTGCCCCGGTGGTGATGATGATGAGATGGTGATGCTGTTGATGATGACGGTGATGACGATGGCGTCCCGAAGATGATGACATTGATGGTGATGATGACGATGGTGGTGTCCCGATGATGATGATGTTGATGATGAGAAACATGATGAGGTGATGATGGTGATGTTGATGATGGTGGCCCGATGATGGTGATGATGACGATGATGATGCTGATGATGATGATGGTGTCCCGATGATGATGATGATGACGATGGTGATGATGATGGTGGCAATGATGATGGTGTCCCTACGATGATGCTGTTGTTGATGATGATGGTGTCCCGATGATGATGATGATGTTGATGATGCTGTTCATGATGACGATGGGATGATGATGATGATGGTGGTCTGATGATGATGACAATGGTGTCCCGATGATGATGTTTATGATGAGGATGGTGACGATGATGGTGTCCCGAAGATGATGATGATGGTGATGGTGCTGGTGATGTTGATGATGGTGGTGATGAAGAAAGGATGATGATAGTGTCACGATGATGTTGGCGATGATGGTGTCTATGACGTTGACGGCGATGATGTTGATGATGATGATGACGTTGATTGCGAGATCGATTGTGATATCGATCGTGAGACCGATAGTGCGACCGAGTGCGAGACCGATTGCGAAATCGATAGTGAGATCGGTAGTGATATCGATTGTGGGATCGATTGCGAAATCGGTTGTGCCATCGATCGGCTGAAATAGATCGAATGCTATCGATTGTAAGATCGATCGAGTGAGATCGATCGAGCGAGACCGATAGTGAGATCGATGGTGAGACCGATCGAGTGAGACGTTGGTTCCTCCCCCCCCACGAACCTCCTTATCACCCGAAGGGTGGTCGTATAGGTAGAGTAGTGCTTTGGCAGCTCGGCTCGCTGCGGACATCGCCGCAGGGCGTGAGCTCGGGTCAGCGTGGTGCACCATTGCGTTGTAGAGGTGAAGCGATAACGTGATGCGCTCGATTGTCGAGCACAACGGAAGCGGATTCTGATTCTGGGGCGGGTACGCAGCTGCAGGCCCAAGGCCCCAGGCAGCGAGCGTCGACCGGATGAGGGGGGGATCCGGGGGCCAGAGGAGGCTCGAGGCAGTGGGGAAATTAACCAGGTTCACTCCTGCACCCGAAAGCGCATAGTTTTGGGGCGAGCACGTGCGTTCGGCCAGTGGTAGTCCACCGCTGAAAGTCTTAAATATGGCCCAGCGCCAGCTGGGGCGCCCCGTTTTGAATGATTCAGTGAGTGCAGACCAGCGCTTCTGTAGCTCTCCTGGCGTCGACGGTGCCTGGAGGCCCGCCCCTGGCTAAGATGCGATTGAGCAAGGTGACTGTAAACGGCGAAGCGAAAGCTTGCTCTGCAAGCTTTCGCTTCGCCGTTTACAGTCATCCTCCCTGCCGACACACTCAGTTAGAAGTACTCGGCCATCAGACAAAGGCCGATGAGAAATACGCGTGGAACATGAAGCCAACCTGCTACTGAAAATCGTGATGATCCCACCTTCAGCAGCCGTCGCACACATCGTGGCACCGATGTCGCTCCACCGCAGCTGCTGTCTGAGGCCCTCCACATCCCCCTCGTGCCCGTGACACTCATGTATGCATAAGATGTCAGGTCTATCACATCGCCGTAAAATGTCCTGCACCTTTGCCTAGCAATGTCCCCTCCGGACTGCACAGAAGCAGAAAAAAAACGTGAACCTTCCATGCCACCATCGAGAAGGAGCGGGTGGGAGACAAAGGGGAGTGCATAATCATACTGCTGTCTTCCACGTCAGAGCTGCCCGAAGAACTGTCAGAGGAGGGGGGAGGCAGGAGGAGAAAAGCAACACGATTGCGTGTCACCCTCATACTTTTGCAAACGGTCAGGGCTGCTGCTGGACTGCTTGAAAGGGCCGACGCATCGCAATACTGGCGGCCTCTAGCAGCGCAGCCGCCTCTGCCCCGATGCCAAACTCATCGAGGGTGGTCTGCTGCAAATCGAGATTGACATCGCTACTGCCTTCTGGCACCGAGGGGTGAGCCACACGCACTGGGTCTTCTGCACTGCGAAATATGTACACGTCACCTCCGAGCCCGTTGGATCCCACTGGGAAGCGGCCCTGAAGAAGCGTGTCTAGCTTCTGGCGGACCTTCCCCATCGTAAGGAAAAATGTGCGACTTTTGACGTCCAAGTCGCGGCGTACCTTGAAGAAGAACAGCTTTCCGTTGCCCTTCGGGTCAGGGTATGTCATGTTTTCAGTAGTATGGAAATTCGAATGGAAAGACGACGCCTCCAGCGCCGAGCCGAGCTCGTATATGGCCTTGCGGTTCATGTCGGACACCTTGATCACCACACGCTGCTGCTGGTCCATCGGGACGCACTTGTCCCTCAACATCTCCGCGGCCTTCCGTATCGTAGCCCCCCATGAGAGGGCGAGAAAATCCCAGTAGAACGAGGCGAGCTGCACCTTCTTGAGCATCCGCACTCGTCGAAGCACGGGACGCGTGAGAGGAAATACCCGACCTCGTGGAGCCAGGGCTGAGCAAACGGCGACGACTCGATGGAGGTCCAGTACTACTGCAACACTGTTCTGGTCCGTCACCGTGATGAGCATGGTCTCAATCTTCCCAACGGACTCCTCAAGACGCTTGATGCGTACCTGCTGCTCGGCGTCCTTCGCGGTGTCCTCCATTGCGTCCGTGGAGTGCTGGTAGGACTCCATGCTGGCCTCGAGGATGTCCTTCCTCGCGGCCATCTGGGTGAAGCCCTTTTTTTCATTGTCGTGGTGGTGCCGCTGAGGGCCCCAAGGTTCTGCTGCAGCCCCGAGTCGAGGCCAATGACTGCCGCGATCAGGGCCTGCGCCCATGCCGGTGGAGCCTCGCCCGCTATGGCAAACTGCATGGAGCGAGACGTGAAACTCTGTGTGCGAGGTGCGATGAAACAAGAGATCTCACGCGGGGCCTGTCCCCTCCAAGCCGCAACCGCCTGAGCTACCCCGTCGGCTGCGAACAAGCTCAAACCGCCAGGGCGAACAGCTTGAACTTGAGCCAAAATGGCTTGAGCCAAAATGGCTACGGATCCGTGGATGATGGTGTTGGTGATGATCAAGATGCTGATGCTGCTGATGCTGTTGATGATGCTGATCATGATGATGATGAGTGGTGGTGATGACGAGTGCTGATGATGACGAGTGCTGGCAACGCGGTGTTGACAGTGACGATGCTGATGAGAATGAGTGAGTGATTGAGTGAGTGAGTGGGTGAGTGTCTGAGTGAGTGAGTGAGTATGAGTGAGTGGGCGAGTGGGTGTGGGTTCTTGTTCCTGCGCGGGGTGTCCAGAGAAAACAAGAACCCCACCTTAGATGTGGGGAACAACAACTCATGCCTGGCTGAGCGCCAGAGCGGAGTATGACTCACACGTGCTCGCCATGGCGAGTTATGCACGTGTCCAGCGCTTCCGCCAGCGCGTCTCTGAGCACCAAATAGGATGCTGCTGGCCCACCAGCCAGACGGTCATGCGCCCACCATCCGCCTGAGACGACATGCCTGCCAGGGACTCCGAGCGTCCCTGCCTCGCCTCCCGAGGGCGAGCCAAGAAAGGCTGGTCCGTCACACTGCAAAGCATCACCCAATGGCTTCACGACGCGAAACATAAGAATTGCAACTGGTCCGGCCGGGAATGCCACACGAGGCTGCGGCAACAGCACACACGTGAGAGGAAGGAACAGCAAAAAACAGGGAGAACAGCGGCCGGCGAGCAGGAGGTGGCGGAGAAGCACAAGAAGCACAGAGCGTGGACGTGTCGAGAAGGGGGTGTGGGCTCAAGCGCTCGACGACGTGAGTTTGTTCACAACATCCTCCTACTCCTACTCCTCCTCCTCCTCTTCCTCCTCCTCCTCCTCCTCCTCCTCCCCCTCCTCCTCCTCCTCCTGCTGCTCCTCTTCCTCCTCCTCCCCCTCCTCCTCCTGCTGTTGCTCCTCTTTCTCCTCCTCCTCCTCCCCTCCTTCGCCTCCTCCTCCTCCTCCTCATCCTCCTCCTCTTCCTCCTTCTCCTGCTGTGACTGTTTCACAACGTGGCTCCCCAGAGGTCTGGAGCTCTCCGTCAAGACTTGCTCTTCACCCTGGGCCGTTTTAGACGGTCCCGGGGCCGGCGAGGGCCTCCGAAAGCAGAAAACTGCTCAAAAACATCCGCCGTGTTTTTCCCAACCGACCTGTAATATTGAAGCGTTTCGACGAAACAGCGCCCTGCGTCTCCTTCCTCCCGGTTCCTCTTCCTCCCCTTACCCATGCCATCCCTGCCCCAGTCGTCCGCATGTCGTTTCCGGCGCACGTACACACATCACGCATCTCGTTGCCCCATAAGGAGCCCCACCGAAGGCCCAAGTCGCAGTGCCCGCACGGCATCACCCCGCCAATTTCGGCATACCCCTCGCACGCTTCGTGACATCACAGGGAGCTTCACCGAAGGCCCCAGTGGCAGCGCCCGCATGGCGTCACCCGCACAGTCCAGCACAACCTTCACACGTTTCGTGACCCCAAAGGGAGCCCCCACAGAAGGTCTCAGTGGCAGCGCCCGCATGGCGTCGCATCGCCCATTCCGATACACTCCTCACACGTGCCGTGACCCCACCTTCGTTCCACCTGCCTTGCCGTACTCACACTTGCACATGGTTGGGTCCGTCGCCAGGAGAATGTGTTGTTTCGTTGCGATTCCAGCACGTATGGGGAAGGGGGGCAGAGGCGTTATTTTTTGTCTGTATCAAATAAACGAACCGATGGCAATGCGGCTCAACAATCGATGCAAGCGTCGGTCAACTTTCTGCACCGCGCTGCTGCAAGAGCGTTAAACCAGCGAGGAGGAGGAGGAGGAAGAGGAAGAGGAGTAGGAGCAGGAGCAGGAGCAGGAGCAGGAGCAGGAGCAGGAGCAGGAGAAGCAGAAGAAGCAGGAGGGGGAGGACTGGGCAGCGCCGTGGCCGAGGACGGCTGGCACGCACCTTGGCTGCTCAAACCCTGGTCCATGTTTAAATAACAGGAAATGTGTCGAACCCTATCCCAGGCTTCGTGGGGTTTTCGACTGGGCCAGAGATTTGGGGCCAAACCCTGAGATATACGACGGGGGGCGCCTATCCTCGATAGGAGTGCGTCCGAATAGCCAGCCCCCCTGGGGCGCCTCCCAAGCTTTCCCTCCATGCTTCTGAGCGGCTCCACTTTTCGTCGAGAAGTCGGAGGGGTGGGGGAGAAAGATCGCCTGCGATAAATGAAACCGGCCCTGGGGAGGGGAGGGGGGCGGGGCGGCGCAGCGTCGGGGCGGCGGCGTCCTGGGTCTGCAGCTGGAACATGGCCTGGCGGGCGCCCGAGCCCCCGCGCCTCCGGGGGCCCCGCGCCTCCTCCGGGCGCGGGGCCCCCGGAAGGCGCGTCCGCGCGGCAGGGCTGCCCGGAGGGCACCACGGGCGGCGTGGCGCGCACGGGGAGTGCTCGAGCGATCGAGGGAAGCTCCTCGGAGCTGATGCTGGGCCACTCCCAATCTCCAGCGGCATGGCTTCAGTCGACCGGCGGCTTTTCTCTCAACGTCAGCCTCTGGGGCCCGTCATCGGCCCCAGCCAGCGGCTTTCCTCTCCACGTCGGCCTCTGGGGCCCGTCATCGGCCCCCGGGGCCATCACAAGTGAGCGGCGATCGAAAACGGGTCTTGCGCGAGATGGCACAGCGACCTTACGCGGTGGCGTGCGCGAGCCGCCGGCACGGCACGCTACTTTGGAGACCAGGGCGCTCACGCGCGACCTTACGCGCCGAGAGGGACCGAAGGGGCCACGGCACGCGCCAAGCACCAAGACGGCCCAGGCCGGGCCCCAGACGGCCAGAGACAGCCCCAAGACGTCCAAAAAGGGCTCCCAGAGGGGCTCAAGACGCACCAGCGGCATGTTGGGGCCTGATGGAATGCTTGTTGGAATGCTTGCCTGTCTGGTAGGGCTTCTGTATTGCGTCCAAGGCCGACCCCCCGACTCACCCTCCGAAAAGCGTACCCCCTTGTGATGTTCCTCCACGCCACTTCCAGTCTCCAGACGATTCCGAGACTGCCAAAAAAAACGCCGAAATATGGATGCAAGACCCCGAGACAGTCGAAAGACAGCTCCACGAGCCCCCAGTCTCCAAGATTATCCGAAGTGTCGCAAATAAGACCCAAGTGGAATTCAAGAGACGCTCAAAGAGGTCCAGCGAGACTCTAGGGAGCGAAAAATATTGGAACAAGTTGTAGAAACATCACTACGTGCTGATTACAGTAGTGATATGTTGTGCCTGCGAACGCCTCGGCGGAGCTTCAGAGAGCTTCAACAAGTTTCCAAGATGGCGCCCCAAGACGGCTCAAAACAGCCCAAAAGACCTCCAAGAGCTCCCCAAGAGTGCCCCAGGCCCCAGGAGGCCCCCAAGAACACCCAAGAGGGTTTCGAAAAGGTCCCAAGGGAACCCAAGACAGCGATTCGTTAGGGACCCAATACGCTCGCCCAGTCGTCACCACACCACTTCGGGTAATCAAAAGTCAACCGAAGTCGAGCGACGTTTGCATCCACGATCGGGCACTGGTGCCTTGCGTTTCCAAAAAGTGCAGGGGGGCGAGGGTGATTCGCCGTAGGCGTCTTCTGCAAAAACCAAGCTTCCTCACAAGAGAAAAAGTAATGAACACCCGTTCAGCCATACTGAAGACGCCCGCCCCAGAGCAATACTCGCATGCGTGCGCGTGGTGCCCCCGAGGGCGTCCCTTTTGCATTGAGCCCCCCGCGGCCGACAGCAGCTCCACGTCTGCGGAGAGCTCCTCTGCCGCCTCGCGGGACCGGCCCAGGACGCGCTTGAATTGCTCCAGGATGGGCACGCTCTCCTGAGCAGATGCTCGCCATCACTCGGACGCCCATCCCCCGTGCATGTTTCGACTTCGTGCGCGCACTTTAGCACAAGATGAGACGAGACGCTCCTCGATGGTCCTCGCCGGGAGAAAATGCCCACGTCCGAGCGATGCCAAGGATGCGACGGAAGACGGTTGCGCACGGGCCGCCTCCGCCTCCGCCTCCGCCTCCTCCTCCGCCTCCTCGGCAGGCGGGCAGGCGAAGCCGTGCCTGGGGAGGGGGCGGAGCGGGCAGGCCGCCAGAGGGCGGAGGGAGGGCCACGCCGAGGGAGGGCGCGAGGCAGAGACTGCCCAGAGGGCGGAAGTGCTGGGAAGGGAAAAAGGAAGATCAGCGACACGGAAGACGGGGGGAGATCGGCAGGGAAACGGGGAAGGAGAGGAGAGGAAAACATCAAGCACAGATGACCCGTCATGCCGTGGCGCTGCTTACTTTGCCTCTGCGCACCTGACCCCCCCATTGGGCCACTGCTGCAAGCGGCGGAGGATCGCAACGGCAACAACGGAGAGAACAGGAGCGGAAATGTCTCGTCGAGAGCGCCCGCAGCAAGGAGCATCGGTTAAGGAGCGGTAGGGCACCACAGGTCCGCAGCAGCGGAGGCGAAGGTCGCAGGTAGAGCGAGAACACGACGGCGAGGGCGACGGCGGCAGGGCCCTCCACCGCCACGACGACCACTGCCACCGCGGCGGCGGCGACAGACGCCACAAATCGCCAGGCCACGGGCCTCTTGACGTCTCTCCTACCGAGGGGAAGCGCCCAAAACCCATTCGCAACCAACAAGCGGCACCACCAGTGGGCTCACCCAGAAACAGTGGCGGCTGGGAAAAAGCATGCGACCCCATAAGAAAACTCCGTAGGTAAGCGTGGCGTGGGACGCATCATATGACCCAGATGCTGCAATGCTGTAGGAAACGATGCTGGGGAAGGATTGAAGGGCGACGACGACGACGACGATGACCAAGAGGAGGAATCAAGATACTATATTGTATGGGAAAACGTATCAAACAAAGAATCCTGGACAACTCCCGCGACAACCCCTCAGACAACCCCTCAGAGATGGAAACCACAATTGCCCTAGCATGTAGTATGGCCAACGCTTGAACGAGAGCACCGTTCCCTACCAGAGATGTGGCCAGCGCGCTGGAGAGAGCACCTTCTTCGATCAGGGATGTGGCTGGCGCTCGGGGCGTGCCTGGCGGCACCAAGGGGCGGCGAGACCTCATTTGTGCCTGCGCCTGCGTCTGCCAGGCCGCCCCCCGCCCCCCCCATAGGCGCAGCAAGACGGCGACAGGTGCACGCTCTGCAGCACCCAACGGACGACGAGGTCTCACCTGGGTATGCAGCGTATGCCGACACCTCGCTGGACCGCCCAGGGGCGCAGCAAACTGGCGCCACTTGCACGCCCAGCAGCACCCAAGGACGGCGAGGCCCCACTGAAATCTGTGTATGCCACGGCCCCGCTCGATCCCCAAGGGGCGCAGCAAAGTGGCGACAGGCGCACGCGTTGCAGCACAACGGAAGGTCGGGGCTTCGCCTGGGCCCGCGCTTGTCACCGCTCTGCTCGACCCGCCAAGGGCGCAGCAAAGTGGCAACGGGCGCACGCCTGGCAGCACCCAGGGAGGGCACAACGTGGAGAGCGACGAGAGAGAAGGCACGAGAGGTGGAGGGAAGAGGAATGAGATTTCGCCATCTCCCCGAAGCGCGGCACCAAGCCCCGCCATTCTGCCGCAGTTCGCACACACCGCACAGGCCGACATCAGTCTCGGGAGGTGGGGCGCGAGGCGGACCGAGCAAGTTCTCACCGGCCGCGCCGACCGAGACCGCCGATGCCTCCTTTCCTCTTGTTCAGAACTGACCTGAAGTCGCGGTTGCCGAGGCCGCCGGCTTTCCTCCCCACGCCGAGCTTGCCCCCATTCTTCAGGAACTGGTAGCCCAGGACGAGCACTATTGCCACCCCAATGACGGGCATCTTGAAGTCGCTGAAGGTGTCCCGGCTCGGAGGCGTGTGCACAACCATCAGCAACTCCTTGGCAGGAAGAAAGCACTGCATATACAGATAAATGTCCGAAGGTCCGCACGCTGCTTTTTGGATCGGCGCTGGACCCCTCCTCCATGGAGCGCGGAGCGCGCCAGGGGCGGCGCCCCAGGCGCCGACAGCTGGGTCCAGCGCAGATCAAAGAAATCCGCGCGGACATCCGAAAGATTAACCCATGTGTTTGCGATTTCGATGTTCTTCGAGCTCCATGATCTCGATCTCCGTGCCATCCTCAGAGAGGAAGGCGAGCAGGTCGCCCTGCTGCTGGCGCTTGTGCACGGACCTAGAACTATGTTTAATGTAATGATAACGTTGGGTCAAAATCGGGGATCTACTGACCCAGGTCAATCCAGAGCCGGGTCAGTCAGGCTTTGCAGGATCCTGCAGGATCCTGCAGGATCCTGCAGCCGCACCTGGGTCAACGCACCTCTGGCTCTGCAGGATCCTGCAAGATCTGGCGCTCTGATCAACCCCCGTTTGCATTGACCCCCGTCTCAAGGCTCCCGACAGGATACAGTAGCGGTCCGACCACAAGAAACCTTCCAAAAGAAACCCAACCATGAGACCCCAGGACGTCCATTGATCTTCGGTGCGGGAATTTCACGCTTTTCATGGCAAAACCATCGAAACCCAAGAAACCCAGGGCAACCTGGAGGCGAGCTGGGCGTTGCTTGGCACGGGCCCCCTCTGTATGTTCTGGGAATTCCAGAGTTTCGGGCGGCCCTCGGCCATCTACACTCGCCCATTCGTCTCTGGCCGCGCGGGGCGGCAAGAAAGAGTCCGACGGCGAAGCACTCCCCTCACACTTCTCGGCGCGCTAACAAACAAAACACACACACACACAACACGCACAACACACACAACACACACACACACACACACGCACCAGACGCACAGTTCAACACACTATAAGGGGACTTTGTCGGGGGAGTGCCGCAAGGCAGAAGAGCGGGACCCTCGTTGAGGCTACAATGAGACCGAGCCCTTGCCGCGCTTGCTTCCCATCGCGCTGGATCCACGGCGGGGGGACGCGCGTTCCATGGAGGTACCAAGCGCGCGCGGTGCCCCCCGCCCAGCCGTCAGTCCCCGATGCCCTGGCCCAACCCAGCCCAAGCCGGGGCAGGAGCGACTGGGAACCTTGGAGCACATCACCACCATGACTCCTTGCTCCCGTGAGGACCAGGCGCGAGCGGGTGGGCGGTCCTGGCTCCACACGACCGACTGGGTCGGCGGGCTGAGGTCGCCCGCCCGCTTACCGGCCTTGGGGCGACGAGACCTACAGACATCCACCGCCCCTGGCCTGGGCCCCGGAACGGGACATGCGCCCCCTGGCTTGGCCAGGGAGGAGACATCTCGACCCTTTCCCCAAAGCCGGTTTCTCATCCCGGGTCGCTTCTTAACGATCCCGGGGCCAAGCGAGGGCCCTCGGAGGCTGAAAACAACAAAGAACTGCTGCATTGTTTTTCAATACAATGGAAATCTGGGTAGACCGATCCTTGGCCCAGGATGCCCTGAGATGCGACGTCACGGGGGAAAAAAAAACACAATAAATCGCGACCGAACCCCTAGACACCGTCCTTGTGCTGCATTTGTCCGACCTGATCGATCTGCGAGGGTCCCAGGCCCGAAACAAGGCAAAACCGCACGTTGTGACAAACCATACGGCGCCAGGGGAAAACAAAAGGTACCGATACCCCTGTTCCGCGGACCACACCGGGGGTGCGTTCTCAAGAAGATTTCGAAGCGAATCCAGCCGTGGCGACGAGGGCCTCCGAGGAGGCCCAAGAGGGCGAAAACAAGGCAAGGGTAGCGGTATCGGTACCGCTCCCTCCCCTGCGCCAGGCTCTCAGGGTGGGCCTGGCCAGGGGAGGTGGATGTGCATAGATCTCGTCGCCCGAGGCCTGGCTCACGTTCAGGGCCGTCAACGACGCCCGCCCCTCGCCCTGGCGCAGCGCCAGGGCGAAGCCGCGCACGGAGGCGAGCTGCACAGACCCAGGGTGCCCGCCCGTCGCCGCCGCCTCGAAGCGGAGCTCCAGGGAGCAGTCCTTCGGCAGAACACTCACGGGCGGCGAGCACGTCCGTAGTCCGCGCCCCTCGCGGTCTGGACTCTGGGGCGCCATCCCGCGGATCCGCAAAAAGAAAGCCCCGTATCCGCGGGGTCGCAGCCCGGGGTCCCGGCCCGCGAGGCCGCGGATATTTTTCTCTTGCCCACGATCGGAAGGCCGAATACCCCTGGCCCCGCCATCACAGATCGTTCCAGCAGAAGAGTACCAGGGAAAGATGGGGTCTAGGGCTCCATATGGGAACGAACAATGACATAAAGATAATAACTCGGAGGTCTGCACGGATTTCTCGGATCGGCGCTGTGGCCCCCTGGCGGCGCCTCCGGCGCCGGCGCCGCCACTGGCGCGCTCCGCGCGCCAGGGACCAGCGCGGATCCAAGAAGTCCGCGCGGACCTTCAAGCTCTTATGCTTATGTAATGTTTCGCTACCCTGCTCCAGTCGTGATCCTTCGCGATGCCGCAATGCTTTGGCAACGTCGGATCTCACCGACGGTCGGTGAAACTGTTGCCCCGCACGTCGCAGCGGCAGCCGCCGCAGCACGCACCATCCCAGACATGCCCGCGCCGTCGGAAGATCTCGACGGGAGACTTTGGGCCGTTTTCGGCCTCCGAGGGGCCCTCGCCCGGGCCCAGGGGCCGCCGACGCCAGGAATCACGACGGGGAGCTCCTGGCCGCGTTCGGTCTCTGGGGGCCCGCGCCCAGCACCAGGCCCGTCAAAGCACGACTCGGGAGGAAGAACATGCCCCAGGGAAGAAGTCGGGACTTCAGGAGGCCCCGTGCCAAGACAGTCGAGACAGCGGATGTCTGGGATGCTGCCGGGAGCTCTTGCTCAGCGTGCCTCGCGAAGACGGCACCTGAGACACGCCGTGCCCTGCGAGCTGACAGCGCGTCGCTCCGCGCAGCGGGGCGGGAGGCTGGGAAAGGCTCAGAGGCTCAGCACGCTGACGCCTGGGCGCTGGAAAGTGCTGGCGTGTCGCGCCGAAACGTGGTGAACCAAAACCGGCGGCGCGTCACGCAAGGCCAACGCTCCAGGGCGCAACCACCCTCAGAATGAGCATCCCCACAACCCAGACTTCCTCGAGTAACGAACCAGACTTCTGGGGGTCGACGTCATGAAAAAATCATGACGTCGGGGGTCTGGGAACCGAGGCCCTTGGATGAAGGCACCCGAGGAAAGGAGTCGAGCAGGGCAGGGGGGGTTCAGTGAACGCCTGGGGCCGCTTAGCAGGAGCGCCGATCAAATGGTGTGGGTCGGAGTGGTGTTGCCCTCCCTCGAGTCTCCACGAGCGGCGAGCATGTCCGTATCCGCGCCCCTCGCGGTCTGAGGGGCGCCATCCCGCGGATGTGCGGTCCAACGGATACGTTCTGCGCGGGGCATCCGCAAAAAGAACGCCCCGTATCCGCAGGGTCGCGGCCCAGGGGCCCAGCCCGCCAGGCCGCGGACACGGATATGTTCTTCGCCCACGAAATCCTTCTTGTTCTTCACACTATAGATCGAGGTCACCCCCGTCTCGTCGACGACCATCGCCCGAGAGGCCATCTGGCTGTCGAGCACTGCCGCCACGACGCGGCCGTCGAGCTGCGGGCACGACACTGGCCGCGGTACCATCTTCTCCATGTCGATGTACCCCCACTGGCCCTCCGCCCGGAAGAGCACGCTGCTGAGCTGCGCGTGCAGGCTTAGAACACCAGCTCCGCCCGGATCACCAACGTCGATCTGAGCGCGGAGGGTCCCGTTCTTCGTGAAGACGCTCACCTGGCCAGCCGAGTCGCCTGCCATGAAGTACTTGGTGCCACCCTGGGAGGCCATCACTAGCGCGGTCATGGCCGGCACATTGCCCTCGCCGTCGGCCGGGAGCTGCATCTGCCTCTGAAGCTGGGCGGTCACGTTCACCTCGGCGTTCATGTACTGGGAGACCTTCTCATCCATGGAGGCACGGCGTGCCTTCTTCTGGTCCTTGGTGAGCCGCCTTGCCCGCACGGAGATCCTGTGAACCCGAATGCCTCCGCCCGCATCGCCGGTGACGACGAGATACTCGTCGTGCGAGAGAGAGGAGGCAAGCTGTGTGACCGGGTGGTCGTGGCCCGTGGCGAACTCGAGCACCATGTCGCCAGGCGGCGTGTAGAGCCTCACTATGCCGTCACTCTGAGCGGCAATGAGGAGCGCGGAGGGCATCTCGACGTGGTGCTTGGAGGAGGAAGAGCTGGAGGACGCCCTCGGGCTGCGCAGAGGCAGGAACTTCACGAGCCCCACGGGCTCGTCCTGGGGGAGCACGGCCTTCGACACCAAGAAGTCCTCTGGGATGGCCACCGGGGAGGCGTGCGGGTCCACGCGCACCTCCGACAGCAGCGGCAGCGGCTCCCGCAGCACCCCAGCCGGAACACCCGGGGAGTCTGCATTCCCCGACCTAGGGAAAGACAAAGTGGCAGAAACACGCGCGTGTCAAAGCTCCGCGCGGATTCCTTGGACCTGCACTGGGCCCCCCTCGCTGGCGCGCGGAGCGCGCCAGTGGCGGCGCCAGAGGCGCCACCGCAGATCCAATAAATCCGCGCGAAACTCCGAAAGTGTATGCTTCTGCCTCTGTGTCTTCATCTCGGCGGCGAGCTTGGGGGGAAGTGAGAAGAAGAAGAAGAAGAAGAAGGCCTTCTCAAAGGCTCGGAAATTCCCTGGCCCTCTGAGAAGTTTCCTGAGCCTTCCCCAAATTGCCACAGGGAACCTCTCGGAAGGCGCGAGGACTCCTGAGAAGCCCCGCAGCCTTCTAAGAATGCCTTCTCCTTTTCACTCCCCCCCTCACTCGCCGCCGACCATGGGGTTGGGAAACCCAAAGGTACCGATACCGCAATTCTCTCTGGACCTCTCCCGGGGTGCGCTGGCCAGAATTTCGAGGCGAATCCAGCCGTGGCAACGAGGGCCTCCCCGGAGGCCCCAGCAGGGGCAAACGAGGGACTGGGGTAGTGGTATCGGAATCTTCCTCTCACGTCCCTCCCTCGCTCGCCGCCGATCATCGGCGACCGCAGCGCGGCCCGCAGCTCCTTCAGGAGAGCGATGCGGCCCTCGCCCATGCGGATGAAGTCCTCCAGCTCCGCGAGCTCCTTATAAGAAAGCAGACAAGCCACCCCAATAACATAGGCGCCCCGACAAGCGAAGCCGTTTGGGAAAGGCGCCCAAGGAAGGAATCGAACAGGGCGGGGCTGTTTAGGACACGCCAAGGGCTGTTTAGTAAACGCCAAGTGTCGGGGTCTGGGTGATTTTCCTCCCCTTGCTCCTGAGCCAGCAAATCGGCCCCCTGCACCTCTGCCTCGACCTGCGCCTGCCGGCACGCGCGCGCGCCGGCACTCCAAGGGGGGGGGGGGCTCAGAGCCCATGGGGGGCCTCAGAGCGAAGGGGCCCGATGCCATACCCAAAACCGCCGGGGGGCGAGCGAGGGTCCTGGTCGTGGGTCTGGTATACAGAATTCCCTCCCTGGGACGTGGTTTTTGTATACTGAAAGTGGCCGCGGGCGGTGGAATCTGACTGGGGCGGGGAGGGTGTGGTACAGAAACAACTCTTGCGGAACAGTGCAAACTCAACCCTGAAGCCCTTTCCTACCCTTCGGGCCCCTCGGGGCCCCAATTATCACAGCCACGCCTGACCCAGATCCCCGACGTCACGATTTTCTAAAACGCCAGACCCAAACCCCGACGTCATGATGACCCATTCCCTGTGACCCGTTTTCCATCCCGAGTCGTTTTCTGACGGTCCCGAGGCCCAGTCAGGGCCCCCAGAGGCCGAAAAGAGCGAAACACTCTCCGCTGTGGTTGTTGGGGTCATGGCCCGAGGGGATCTGGGGACGTCCGCCGATCTGATTCTCACAAGAGATATGTCGACCCCTTATCCCAGGTTTCGTGAGGCTTTCGAGAAGGAGGAGGAGGAGGAGGAGGAGGAAAAGAAGGAGGAGGAGGAGGAGCAGGAGCAGGAGCAGGAGCAGGAGCAAGAGGAGGGGGAGGAGGGGGAGTGGGAGTGGGCAGCGCCGTGGCCGGGGACGGCCGGCACACACCTCGACTGCCCAAACCCTGGCCCGTGCTTACATAACAGGGGATATGTCGACCCCTATCCCAGGTTTCGTGGGGCTTTCGGATGGACCAAACATTCGGGGCCCAAAGCTTGGGATGTAGGATGCGGGGGGCGCGTCCATACTCGCTAGGGGTGCGTCCGAATAGCACCCTTTGGGTGTATCCCAGAGTTCCCCCCCCCCTTCTTCTGAGCGGCCAAACGTTCCGGGGGAGAAAAATCGCCTGCGAGACCCGTTCTCTCTGCGGCCCGAGGGGCCCCGACCCCTTCTTTTCCTGGGGGGGCAGCTGCTCGCCCCCGAGGGCCCAGAGAAACGGCCCCCGAGGGCAGAGAAGTCGAGGGGAAGACACCGCCGGCTGGATAGAAATCAAATCGTCTCGGAGCAGGGCGGGTCGAGACAGAACGGCAGCTCGAGTTCGACTCCTGGACCCCATCCTCCTCCTCCTGCTGTTCCGCCGCCTCCTCCGCCACCTCGTCCCGCTCCTCCTCCTCCCCCTCCTCCTCCTCCTCCTACTCCTCCTCATCGTCGTCGTCTTCGTCGTCGTCGTCGTCCTCGTCCTCGTCGTCGTCGTCCTCGTCCTCGTCGTCGTCGTCGTCGTCGTCGTCGTCGTCGTCGTCGCCCTCGTCGTCGTCGTCCTCGTCGTCGTCGTTTCAGGGTCGGCGGCACCGGCCGCAAGGCCTTCACAACCTGGCAGTCTCGGAGCAGGGCGGGCCGAGACCACGGCAGCTCAAGATCGGCTCCTGGGCCCCTCCTCTCGGCTGCGCGCAAGAGTGGCCCTGGACCTTCGGCGCGCAGCTTCTGGGTGGCCGCGAGAGGGCCAAACACAAGCGCACAAGTTGCTACTCTCTCGCGTTCGGCGATCGGAGGACCCCATTGGGCCCGCACCACAGGTCACTCCGGCGAAGGGCCACTATTACATGTATTAGTCGAACCCCTCCCTGGGCCCAGACGCACCGGTTCTCCGAGCTGCGTACCGCAGCGGCGACGAGGGGGGCCCCCGAAGGCCCACGAGACCGTGGTCCCGGTGCGTCCTCCTCTGATCGTCGGAGAGCCCCCCTCTCCGAGCCAGCGCGTGCGCCCCTGCCTCGGCCGCGGCGCCGTCGCCTCCGGGCCTGCACGAGGCCGAGGCGGCGCCCGCCGGGCACAGCTCCTGGCACAGCAGGCGCCGCGGCGCGGTGGCCAGGAGCGCCAGCGCGGCCCACCACGGCCTCTGCATGGTGGGCGCTCCCCCTCTGCGGGCGCCTCCCTGGCCGAGTGGGCGGCACGCTGCGGCTCCCTCCCGCGCAGTAGGGGGGGGGGGCGGGGGACGAACCCCTGTGCGCGGCAGCCTGCGATCCGGCCTGGGCCAAGGAGGCTAGGCGGACGGGCGGACGGAGGGAGGACGGGCGGAGGAGAGGAGGGAGACGGGAGGAGGGAGGAGGGAGGAGGAAGGAGAAGGACGAGGAAGAGGAGGAGGGAGGAGGAGGAGGAGGAGGAGGAGGAGCGACAGATGCTCTGCTCAGAGCGAGGGCCCGAATTCCCCGAGCAGTGCTTGCGCTGAGGGGCTTGATACCTCTCTTGAGATCATTTGCCGATCAGGCGTTTGTTAACCGAGACACATGTCTTTTACGCGCAGTGTGCCTACAGCGCTGTTCGCAAGTCCTGTTCTCCACGCAGCTCTAAATCATGTCAGCACTCTGACTTTAGAATCCTGGACCTATCAGGCCTTCCCGACACAAGACCTAAACATCTCTCCAACGTGACGGCATGGACACAACAAGAAATACATCTTCAAAACTCTACACCCGCAGCTTGCGCTGGACGGCCCCACGGATGCAGGGGGTGATCCATCATGCCGCTGTACCCACACACGCGAAGCCCGGCGTCCAGCTTGTCAATGCCTGCCATCTCGGCCTCGCTCAAGACGAAGTCGAAGATCGCCGCGTTCTCGAGCAGACGAGCGGGACTCTTGGTCTTGGGGATCACGATCACACCGCGCTGCACGTTCCACCGCAGGACCACCTGGGCGGCCGTCCGGCCGTGTGCTGCAGCAGCCTCGAGGACCACGGCTTCCTCCATGACTGATCTGTCGCGCCATCCGCCCTCGCAGCCAAACATGCGCATCCCCTCAGGCGCCGCAGGGTTCGCGAGCGGGCAATAAGCTGTGAACGCGATGCCTTCCGCTTGGCAGAAACTCAGCAGGCGCTTCTGTGCCAGGTACGGATGGCACTCCACCTGCAACACGGCAGGCCTGACCTTCAGACCAGGGAGTGCCAGGATCTCGCGCACCTGTGACGAGTTAAAGTTGGAAAGACCGATTGAACGCACCAGTCCTTCTTCGACCAGCGCCTCCATTGAGCGCCACGTTTCTGTGAAATGCACCTCCTCCATACCCTCCTCCCGCTCGATCCCGTGGTCGTAGGTCACGAAGGGCCAGTGGATGAGATACAGGTCGAGATACTTCAGCTGCAGGTCCTGAAGCGTGCGCATGCATGCAGGACGCACCCGATCAGGAGCGTGCTCGGTGTTCCACAGCTTGCTCGTCACGAACAGCTCCTCCCTGAGAAGCGGGCCCGACGGCTGCAATTTTGCCGCCAGCACACCCCCCCGATGGCCGCCTCGTTGCCGTAGATGGCCGCACAGTCCAGGTGCCGCGTGCCCTGGTCGAGCGCGGCCGCCACGGCGGTCTCCACCTCACCTGGCGGCGCGCGCCAGCACCCCAGCCCGCTCTGCGGCATCCCGGCGCCAGAGCTCAGCGAGACGCGCGGCACGGGGTCGGCTGCCTGCGCGGCCATGCTGGGGAAGTCCGGCGTGCCCGTGGGGCCGTCGCCGCGGGCCGTGCCAAAAGCCGGATCAGGACGCCACGGAGCAGCCACGGCAGCAGTGGGAGAGCCCGCGGGCGGGTGCAAACCGAGAGCCTCTGAGAGCTGGGGAGATCAGAGAATGGTGCTTTCTGGCTCGCTGTCTCTCAGGGATCGCGCTCGTGCGAACTCTGACTTCCGCTTCCCCTCATCTCTCATCAATCTCCTTGCCCCTCCCTTTTCCCTCCGACAGCTCCCCACTTGCCCTTTCCACCACCCCTCGCTTGGGGCCTGGTGATCCTGACAGGCAACAAAAAATACAAAAAATACTCCGACCCCCTTCTCCTCCTCCTCCTCCTCCTCCTCTTCCTCCTCCTCCCCCTCCTCCTTGTCATCCGCCTCATCACCATCGTCAGCAGCACCATCACAGCCAATACAACAACAGCAGCAGCAGCAGCAACAACAACAACAACAACAACAACAGCAGCAGCAACAGCAACAACAACAACAACAACAACAACAACAACAACAACAACACCAACAACAACAACAACAACAACATCAGCAACAACAACAACAGCAACACCAACAACAACAACCACAACAACAACAACAGCAACAGCAACAGCAACAGCAACAGCAACAGCAACAACAACAACAACAACAACACCAACACCAACACCAACACCAACACCACCACCACCAACAACAACAAAAACAACAACCAAAAAACAACAACAAAAACAACAGCAGCAGCAGCAGCAACAACAACAGCAACAACAACACCAACAACACCAACAACAACAACAGCAACAGCAGCAACAACAACAACAACACCAACATCAACACCAACAACAACAACAAACCCTCGATACCCGCCCTCTTCGTCTTCGATCGAACCCCTTTTGGGGTGTATACCTTTCTTCCCTGCAGGCCGGGGCCCGGCAAGCGGCGGGGCGGCCGCGGACCGTCGGCCTGGCCATCGGCAGCGCTAATCGGCGGGGCGGCCGCGGACCGTCGACCCGAACCCAAGAGGGACGGACAGGGGACCGACGACGACGACGACGTCGACGACGACGGCGACGGCGACGACGACGACAGCGACGACGACGACGAGGAGCGAAAACGAGAGCGAAAGAGAACGACAGCAGGGCCACAAGGACACGAAGTAGGCCACGAAGGGCGACAGCGGGGACACGAAGGGCATGCACATGGGGCCACGAAGGGCGCGAACGAGCGGGGGCCACGAAGGACATACGTATACTGGGCCGCGGAGGGCAAGGACGGAGCCACTGAGGACAGCAACGGGGCCACGAAGGGCAGCGAGGGGGCCACGAAGGGCGACAGCGGGGCCACGAAGGGCATGCATATGGGGCCACCACGGGCGCGAAAGACGGAGGGCCACGAAGGGCATACATATATGGGACCAGGAAAGCAGCGAGGGGCCCACGAAGGGATGCAACGGGGCCACGAAAAGAAGCGAGGGGGCCACGAAGGGCTGCAACGGGGCCACGAAGGGCTGCGGCGGGGACACGAGGGGCAGCGAGAAGGCCACGAATGACTGCAACGGGGCAACGAAACAAAGCGAGGGGGCCACGGAGGGCTGCAACGGGGCCACGAAGGGCAGCGAGGAGGCCATAAAGGGCTGCAGCGGGGCCACGAAAAGAAGCGAGGGGGCCACGAAGGGCTGCAACGGGGCCACGAAACAAAGCGAGGGGGCCACGAATGACTACAACGGGGCCACAAAGGGCAGCGAGACCCCGATTCCTAGGTAATCTGTGAAATGAAATGAGAGGAAGTCTCGGGCGGGAGCGGGGTCCTGGCTAAATTGCAGGGAAGTGTAAGGCGGGAGCCGTTGTTGTTGTTGTTGCTGTTGTTGAATATTATTACTTCTAAAGAATAATTATTGTTGGGCCCCCTGGTGCACGCCCCCCCCGCCGCGCCTAGGCCGCAGCCACGTTTTCATCATTTTCGTGAGGAAGCCTCAGGTAAAACGATGTGATCCAGATCCGGTTGTTTTGTTGTAATCCGTTTTCCCTTGCAAAAAACACTATAAAATGACATTTCTTGTTCTAATATAATCAAATTTCAAGAATCCCTTGCAAAAAATAAGGTAAAGTGGACATTCGCGCGCGCAAGACGAAATCCTTCCAAAAGCTTAGTGTTCGGAGCGATTTTAACATAAAAACATCAAAAAACCAATGGTTTTTCAACAAAAAAATGTCAAAATCTCATCCCGCGCGCTCTTGCGGATTCGTAGGAAACCCAACACTTTTTAAACATTTCTGTCAAACGGGCTTTTGCGAGCAACTTTTTCGAACTTCTGCGACAACGGTTGCGCACCTGCCAGGGCCATCATCCCTGTCAAATAATACCATGCGGGACACATTCGTTTTTTCTTCGCGCGCGCACGCCGTCGTCGTCGGCCGCGGGGCCCTGAATAGTAGCCACGGTCGTCCGCATGCCACGAAGTGAAGTGTCCGAACGTCATAGGGCGGGAAGCTGGGTGTGGGTGGTGGCGAAGAGTCGTTTGGAAATTTGGTAGAGCTTGAACCGGCCCCCCCACAAAGTGGGGGTATTGCCCGCCTCCTATGAAAACCCTGGCACTGGTGAGAACGGAGTGTCCCCAGTCTTAAATGATTGTTGTTGTTGTTGTTGGTGTTGTTGTAATTCGGGGGCCAGGGGCCCAGTTTGAGCCTCAAAACTTCCCCTGCCAAAAAACAGAGTGCGAGCGTCGAGGGGCGCACTTTGATTCAGAAAAAAGTACGCACCGGTGGGGGGTCAACAACAATTATTCTTCATAGATGAGAAGCCAACATCAAAAACAACAGCAACAACAACAACAATCATTTTACCCTCATGCGCCATGCTTCCACATGACACATGCATCCATCTGGATAACACACCCCATCATGGGGGATTTTTCTGGCATGCGGGATCCGATATTCCCTCACCCAGATATCCCGCCCAAGAAGGTTTGGCCACCACCTCTTCCGAGGAACTTCAACATCCATAGCTCGGACGGCACATCGCCTTCGCAATCGCCTTGCGCATGCCCCGCATCTCAGAGGGAGAGGAGAGGAAGAGGAGGGGGAGATGAGAGAGATAGGGAGGGGGGGAGGAGAAGGGAGGGGGAGGAGGGGGAGGAAGGATGAGTAGTTGTAGTAGCAGCAGTTGATGATATTGTTGTTGCGGCTGTAGCACTAGTAGTAGCGGTAACGGTAGTAGTAGTCCAAGTAAGTAGAACTGGCTTGTAGCAGCCAAGCGTTCATAGCGACGTTGCTTTCTGATCCTCCTTTAATGTCTTTTCTCCCTATCCTTGAGACGCAGAAGTCTCAAAAAGTTGGATGGTTAGCACATCCAGGAAACCTATCGCTGGACCGGCCCAGATATGGTTCCAGAAGCGGCTCGGGAAGCTGCGCAGGCGCCAGAAGCAGAAAAGCACCACGCACGGGCGCCGGCTCGGGCGTCCGGCCCAAAGCCGCTCCAGAATCGGCCCAGGACGGCTTCCCGGGCGCCGCAAGCAGAAATTCAGCATTTTCGAAAAAAAATGTGTATTGGAATGGCCTCTTTTCGGCGCGATCGGAACTGCCCGGGCGTCCGGCCCGGGAGCCGGGCCGGGTGCCGGCCGGGCCGGGTGCCGGCCCGAGCTCCGGAATCGGCCCGGACGGCCTCCCGGGCGCCGGAAGCAGAAATTCAGCATTTTCGAAAGAAAAATGTGTATTGGAATGGCCTTTTTTCGGCGCCGCCTCGGAACTCGATTTTCCGGCGCCCGGGCGCCGGCTCGGGCGCCGACCCGGGCGTCCGGCCCGGGAGCCGGGCCGGGTGCCGGCCCGAGCTCCGGAATCGGCCCGGACGGCTTCCCGGGCGCCGGAAGCAGAAATTCAGCATTTTCGAAAGAAAAATGTGTATTGGAATGGCGTTTTTTCGGCGCCGCCTCGGAACTCGATTTTCCGGCGCCCGGGCGCCGGCTCGGGCGCCGACCCGGGCGTCCGGCCCGGGAGCCGGGCCGGGTGCCGGCCCGAGCTCCGGAATCGGCCCGGACGGCTTCCCGGGCGCCGGAAGCAGAAATTCAGCATTTTCGAAAGAAAAATGTGTATTGGAATGGCCTTTTTTCGGCGCCGCCTCGGAATGTCCACTTTACCTTATTTTTTGCAAGGGATTATTGAAGTTTGGTTATGTTAGAACAAGAAATGTCCACTTTAGCTTATTTTTTGCAAGGGAAAACCGCCCGCAACAAAACAACCGGATCCGGACCAACCCGTTTTGCCTGAGACTTCGTTAAGAAAATGATGAAAACGTGGCTGCGGCCTAGGCGCGGCGGGGGGGCCATGCACCAGGGGCCCCAACAATAATTATTCTTTAGAAAAAATAAAGTTCAAGAACAACAACAACAATCATTATAAGACTGTTCGCTCTTATCTGCTCGAGTGTCCAATAACGCCTATTTCCCACACCCTCGATACCCGTCCTCTTCGTCTTCGATCGAACCCCTTTTGGGGGGTATACGTTTCTTCCCTGCAGGCCGGGGCCCGGCAAGCGGCGGGGCGGCCGCGGACCGTCGGCCTGGCCAGCGGCAGCGCTGATCGGCGGGGCGGCCGCGGACCGTCGACCCGATTCCAAGAAGACGGACAGGGGACCGACCACGACGACGACGACGTCGACGACGACGGCGACGACGACGACGACGGCGACGACGACGGCGAGCGAAAACGAGAGCGAAAGAGAACGACAGCAAGGGCCACAAGGACACGAAGTAGGCCACGAAGGGCGACAGCGGGGACACGAAGGGAATGCGTATGGGGCCACGAAGAGCGCGAAGGAGCGGGGGCCACGAAGGGCAGATAATGCGGGGCCACAGAAGGCAACGATAGGGGCCACTGAGGGTAGCAACTGGGTCGCGTAGGACGGTTGCATATGGGGCCACCATGGGCGCGAAGGAGCGGGGGCCACGAAGGGCATACATATATGGGGCCACGAAGGGCAGCGAAGGGGCCACGAAGGGCTGCAACGGGGCCACGAAGGGCAGCGAGGGGGCCACGAAGGGCTGCAACGGGGCCACGAAGGGCTGCGGCGGGGACACGAAGGGCAGCGAGGGGGCCACGAAGGGCTGCAAC